ATTTCTATAAAGCCAATTAAAAGATTAGTGCTAAGAAAAAAACTGAAAAAAACCGGTTAGGATCACGGCTTTAGGATCACCTTAATATGTGTCAAATTTGTCAAAATGGACACAGATGACTGCATAATTTACGCTGTGCTAATAGTTGCAAGTTAAGGCCATTGCACGTAACAAAGTTTAGTCATAATCGTAAGGCCGTAAAAAAATAGACCAATCACACTCGATTATTCTTCGAGCTCGAGAGCTGATACACACACACACACACACACACACACACACACACACAGAGGGGTGTAAAGTCCGACCATGCAACCTCCACGCGGTACATCCTGGATAATACTAATGCTGGCGGCACCGTAAATTCTAAAGCTCATAACTTAGGCAATTCTCAACGAAAATAGGTTTTCAAGTAGTGTTTTGGAAACGTCTCGCTGCCACCTTTAATACTGTGTCATAAAAAATGGGGTGTTCCATTTAAAAAAATTAGGTTGGTCTTGACCTTGCCTTGACGCCTCCACTCAAGGTCAAACGGATATGATCATTGAATAGAACTTTTTAAACCCTACAACTTTGGTTCGAAACATTTTTCTCAGAAACGTTTTGTTTTCGAGATATTTGACCGTTTCCAGACTTTTCTCGCACCCCGTATATATAATTTATATATAGATATATATGATAATTTATATATAGATATAATTTATTGTGACATAGTAGTTATTTGTGTAGCTCGATTCCTACTAGTTTTCGTTTTTACAGAGCACTGTTTATCTTTAAAATAATATTTCAGTATCGCAATAACCTGTATGCTAGTCTACTAGAATAGGTAATATGAGACTGTGTTAGTTATAAGATATTTGTTATCAGTGAGCATATCTTTATTATTTTGATAATAAAACTACATAATCAAACTACATAAATTATTCACTTGTATATTTGCACATTTTGCCAAGCAACTTCTCCCTCTTCATTAAAATATCTGCAGAATTCTTCTCGAATGTTAGCTGCGCGCAACGAATGCGCTCTTGCGTGAGTACATCTAATGTTAGTAAATGAACGATAATCTGCAACATTGTTTCTCCAAGAACCGTCTTCAATATCTCCGTCTGCTAGAAGCCGATCTGTAAGTTCCTGTCTTACGTAAGTTTCTCGCTCAACATCATGTCTTCTGAGCCAGTTGTGAAGACATACAATTGCTTGAACCATTTTAATTGCATTTTCAACTTTTGCTAGAATTGGTCGTCTTAGCAGTCGCCATTGGCTAGCTAAAATGCCAAACACATTCTCGACCGTTCTTCGAGCAAGTGATAAACGATAATTATACAATCGTTTCTCTAATGTCATGTCTTTGCCTGGATATGGTCGCATCATGTATTCGGTTAGTGGAAATGCCTCGTCTCCTACCAATACGTAGGGTAAAATTGGACCATCTTCATATAATGCTTCAGGAGGTGGGAGATTGAATTCTTTGCTTTCCAATAACAGGCCCATGGCACTATTTTTAAACAGACCTGCATCACCCTGCCTTCCAGGAGCTCCAATGTCAACACAACGTATTATGTAATTAGCATCACTAATTGCAAGTAAAATAATGCTGTGAGTGCCTTTATAATTGTAATATTCTGATCCCGCGTTGTCAGGACACTGAAACCATATTATTATAAAGTACAGTTAGTTTGCCTCAGTGAATTTATTATATACATAATGTTTTCAATTTAAGAATTACTTGAATGACAACGTGCTTTCCATCAATCGCACCAACACAGTGAGGGAACTTCCATCTATTTTCAAAGTCGTTTGCGATCTCTCTCCAGTCGTCTGTGTCACATTGTGACAGTACAATTGGATATAAACGCTCCCAGATAGCAGAACATGTTTCACGTATAATCCGTGTAATGCTACTTAACGATATGAGAAACTGATATGACAAAGATGTCATACTATCTCCTGAGGCAAGATATCTGTTAATATAATAAGAAATATATATAACTGCTTTGATATATGTACTTATCAGATTACGTTTGTCATAAATTACAATACACATTATTGTTAGTTAATATGAGTTAGTTATACATATACCTTACAGTCACTATCAAACGTTGCTCTTCATTTATTGGTTCACGCAAAACATCAAGTTTCTGTATATCCTGTCCTACTATTGACAAGAGTTCTTCAAACTGTGTGGCTGTCATTCTTGTGTAATTCTGGAAACGAAGATCTTCCAACCTTACATTGGGCAATATTGCATGATAGAATCCGTGTCTTTTTCTTTCTGCAAATATTTTTGACACCCAAACCCTCTTCTTTTTCTGTTTGGCTCTTATTGTATTTGCAATTAGTGATATTACTGCAATTAACTCAACGTTTTGTTTGTGATATTCGTGATTGATAATGCTATTGCATTCTAACAACCACTGGTAATTCCGATAATTAATAGACATTTTGTAATGTCTCGCAATTATCCTTTTTCCTTTGAATAGCTGGGAGATATTTCGAAGTTCAGCTATTCTATCCTATAGAGGGTTTCTTGGCACGGCGTGGATGGGTTTCTCGCCTGAGTTGACGCTGAAACCAGTTGAAACGCGTTGAAACCAGTTGAAGCGAGTTTAAAACGCAGGTTTCAAAAAAGGTCTCTTATATTTAAACTTTCAACTTTAAACCTTAATATCGTCTATTTATGAAAAAAATATAAGAGACCTTTTTTGTAGATCGTTAAATTTTCTACAAAAATATGTATTGATAATTTTATAATTTTTGATAGTCGATATGATACAAAATTTATAAGAAGCAAAAACAAGTTTTATAAAATTTATCAAACTTTAACTTTGAATATCTTTTGGACGATTGAATTTATGAAAAAATGATAAGAGATCTTTTTTGTAGAGCGGTAAATTTACTACAAAAATCTCTTGTAGAGCAATGCTGTATTACTGTTTGTTAGATAGTTATAAAATTTTTTCTATCTTACTAAATAAAAAATAAAAAATCGCGATGAGCGACCTGTTAATATTAATATTAAGGGCTAAAACTTTAACAGGTATCTTATTTTACCTTCCTGCAAGTATGCTATTCAAGAAATAAAAAAAAAAGTTGCTCCAAAATGACACCCTAATATATATATATATAT